GGAATTCACCAGCATGAGCTGAAACCCATGAGGATACACTGAAACTCGTATCAGATCTTGCTGTATCTGACCTCAATGGTATGGATGTCCTCAGGACAGCTAGTCTCCTTTGTCATAGAACTGCATACATGTGTCCCAGGAGTCAGAGAAACTGGAAGTGGATCCAGTGGAAAGTGGAGCAGTCACAGGCCTGACTGCTGCTGAGCCAATGACATGAGCCAGCAGATAAGCGACATCATGTGTGAACCGCACGTGATATCTGCTTCACTTCTGCTCTCCAATCTTATACAAGAATGTCTCGTGTGGCCCACTCCAATTGGAAACATAGATAAAGATAAGAAAATTCTGGAGTGGGGGGGCAATTTCTGGGGTGAGAGGAATATATACGTAATATATATAACTCTTACAACTCAGTCATAAAAAGAAACATCCCTCACCCAACAAAATGAGCAAAAGATGTAAACAGACACTCCACAAAAGAAAATATATGAATAGCTAACAAGCACATGAAACAGTGTTCAACATCATTAGTTATTAGGAAAATGTAATTAAAACATGATATCACTACTCATCTACCAGAATGGCTAAAATTAAGACTGACAACATCAAATGCTGGTGAGGCTGTGGAGCAATCAAAGCTCTAATATAGTCTTTGTTGAAGTATAAAATGGTACAATTACTTTGGAAAATAACGATTTCTTACAAAATTAAAGATACATCTATCTTATAACCTAGCAATTCAATTCTTATATATTTACCCAAGAGAAATAAAAACACATGTCCACAAAAAGACTTGTGCAAGAATGTAGGTAGTGTTATTTGTAATAGCCAAAAACTGGATACAATTCAAGAGTCCATCAACAGGAAAAGAGACAAGTCAATTGTATATTTATACAACAGTAATAAAAAAGGAAGGAACTACTGCTTCTTACAACATTAAAGATGAATGTCAAACGTGTTGAGTGAAAGAGGCCTTCCATAAAAGACATCATACTGTATATTTCCAAAATAGGCAAAACTAATTCACAGCGGAAAAAAATCAGAACAGTGATTGTCTAACAGCAGAGTTGGAATGAGGGGTGGGAATGGGGAAAATGGTGGTACATGTAAACTCTAACAAGACATAACTTTCTGGGGTGAGGGTAATGTCCTGTATCTTGAAAGGACTTCGGGTTTCAAAAGCATACACATTTGTCAAAAATTAGCAAATATGCACTAATGGTTTATGCATTTCACTTTCCATAAATTTTACTTCAAAAAAAGCTGTAAACAACTATTAAATTCCAGTTAATGATATGTATGTTGAAGTATTTAGTGAAAAGCATACTGATATATGCAATATACTTTGAAATGAATTAAAAGAATAAGATGATTAATAAAGGGATGGAAGGGATAGAAGTGAAATGTTAATGGTAAACTCTAGGTGAAAGTGTATGGGTTGTTTACTATAGAAATCTGAGAAGGAGTTTTAACTTTTCTTACATCTTTTGATAATTTATATAAGTGAGCAATCTCGGCTTTTACACTCATACAATTAGCCACTAAGAAATGATGATTCTCAGTAAGCCAATGGCCAACTGCCATTTAACTTATCGGCAACACATAGCAAAGATGTGTTAATCGGAGCAAAGAGAACTTTAATATAAAGTGACTTACAAATATATAGTGTCAGCAGTAGTTCTACAGAAAAAGAAGATCATATTTGATATAAGCCTTTTGCCTTTGCAAGGTTTACTGAACCACCCAAACCCATCTAGCAATAGTTTTACTTCTCCAAAGTTCCCTTCTACTACTTGGGGACATTCCATTTTCAGCATCAATGAAAAAGAAGTCTGCTATGCTCCACTGCACATCACAGTAACCAATTTTTTTTTTAAAGTTATCATTAAAAAAATTGGAAACTATCTCCATAATTAAATGGTTATGGCAAAACCTCACAATGTTCAGAGGCTATGACAGTTTAAACAAAATAAAGCATTAACTTTTCTAAACCATCAAAATCATTTGGATTTGGTCCCAATTTTGAGTGAAGATCAGTCAAGCCAATTCATCCGGCGGAAATGTAAAACAAAATACATAATTATTAATATTTATTACCCTCCCAGAACAGCATCTAAGAAAAAAGATTTCCATTAACAAGGACTTTTTTTTTTTTTTAAGACAGTCTTGCTCTGTTGTCTGGGATGGAGTGCAATGGCACTGTGTTGGCTCACTGCAACCTCCATCTCCCAGGTTCAAGCAATTCTCCTGCCTGAGCCTCTTAAGTAGCTGGGATTACAGGTGCCCACGACCATACCAGGCTAATTTTTATATTTTTAGTAGAGATGGGGTCTCACCATGTTGGCCAGGCTGGTCACAAACTCCTGACCTCAGGTGATCCACACACCTCGGCCTCCCAAAGTGCTGGGATTACAGGTGTGAGCCACCGCATGCAGCCTAACAAGGACTTTTATAGATTAAACAGGCACATCCAAACCAGGTTCAAACCAAGGGAAACAAATTAGGGCGCAACTAACAACATTAAAAAGATAAGGAAGCTCTAAGATCAAAAAAGTCAAGGGATGTCAGAGTCCTTTGTTTATAATTATACTCACAAAACATTTACTGAGAAAGATCTTAATAGTCCCCGAGAAAATCAACAGTTAAGTCTACCTCAGATAAAATGTACTTAAGTGAAATAGAAAAATTATACAATAATGTAAATTCCTAAAACAAACTAAAAAAGAAACAGAGAAGCTAAATGTTCCTACAGCTACTGAAGAAAGTAAATCAATTCTTAACAAAAATCCTACCAAGAAAACACCAAACCCGCAGTCTAACAAGACAGAAAAGAAAGGATAAATCTTGCCTCAAATGTATGAAATTAGTACAACCTTAATATCAAACCAAAGTCAATATAAAAAAGGAAAATTACAAATCAATCTTTCTTATTCATAAAAACTAAATTTGATTTAAATTTGATTTAGTAAAATGTACTAAATCAAATATTGCCAAATTGAATCCAATAATTTTTTTTTTTTTTTTTTTTGAGATGGAGTCTCGCTCTGTTGCCCAGGTTGGAGCACAGTAGCACGATCTCGGCTCACTGCAAGCTCTGCCTCCCGGGTTCAAGCCATTCTCCTGCCTCAGCCTCCCGAGTAGCTGGGACTGCAGGCGCCCGCCACCACGCCCGGCTAATTTTTTTTGCATTTTTAGTAGAGATGAGGTTTCACCATGTTAGCCAGGATGGTCTTGATCTCCTGACCTTGTGATCCACCCACCTCGGCCTCCCGAAGTGCTGGGATTACAGGCGTGAGCCACTACGCCCGGCCGAATCCAATAATTTAAAGGTTTCTTTCATGAACACATGGTTAGTTTAACGTTAGAAAAATCTGTTAATATTTCCAAAGCCTGAAGGAGAAAATGATCTGGTCATCTCAATATATGCCAAAAAAAAAAGCATTCAATAATATTCAACAATTCATGATAAAAACTATTAGTAAGCCAGAAATAGAAAAGAACATCCTGTACTTTGTAACAAGTATCTACAAGAAACCTACATCAAACATTATGCTCCATGGTGAAGCATTAAAATCATTATCTGTAAAATCAGTAACACTGCAAGGATATCTCTTATCTCCATTTTCAGTATTTACTGGAGGCTTTAGCCAGTGTGTATGAACACACGAACAGACACACAGACATGTATACACAATATAGATGAACTGAGGAGAAAGAGATAAAATGCCATTATTATATCATTTATATCAATTGTCTTCATACAAAATCCCAAAGAATCTATACATTTATAAACTATTAAAAAAAAAAAAGAGTTTGGAAAGTTTTTTCTGTTATCAAATTACTATGCAAAAGCCAAACGCACATGCACATACCAGCAATAATGTTGCAAATATCATTTTTTAAAAATACAATTTATAATAACCAAAAATAAGAAATTCAATTAAAATGATAAAGAATTATAATTCTCTCAACAAAGGTATGCAAGACCTTTATGAAGAAAAGAAAATGTCATTAAAAGATTAAAGAAGAAAAAAAAATTAAAGAAGATCTAAGCAAATATAGAAAAATGCCATGCTCATAGATAATAAATTACCTTCAGGATATCAATCCTTCTCCAAAATTAATCTTTAAAACCAATGTGATTATAGGTTGAGCATCCCAAATCTGAAAACCCCAAATCCAAAAATGCTCCAAAATCTGAAACTTCTTGAGCATTAACAGTATGCTAAAAAAATATATATTTACTGAAGCATTTCAGATTTCAGATTTTGGGATGCTTAACTGATATAATGCAAATGTTCCAAATTCTGAAAAAAAATCCCAAATCCAAAAATACTTCTGGTCCTAAGTGTTTCAGATAAGGGATACCTAACTTGAACCTTAATATCCTGTCAAGTGTTCTTACAGAACTTGAAAAGCTGATTTTAAGATTTATATGGAAAATAAATGACTAAGAATAGCTAAGGAACTACTGAAAAAGAAACACATGTGGGTGAGTAGAGGGCTGGGAAATTTGACCTACCAAGTATTAAAAATTATTTTAAAGTTATATTAATACTGTAGATTTGGCTGTGGAATAGAACATTCTGAAAGAAGCCCGCACATATATAGAAATCTGATATACTGCAGAGATGGCACTGCAGATTAGTGGGGACAGGACGAATTCTTCGAGAAATATATAAGGACATTGGAAAAAGTAAAATTACATCTCTATCTTATATCATACACAAAATTACTGATGAATTACAAACCTAAACATGAAAGTCAAAATATTTAAACTTTTAGAAGAAAACATATGAAAACACATTAATAATCTAAGGATTGAGAAGGATTTCTTAAAAACAACACATTAAAAGTAGTTGCCATAAAGAAAAAAGAAAAAAATTTAACATTAAAATTAATCAGTTTGGTTCACCAAAAGACACCATAAAGGGGTTGAAAATATGTCACAAACTGAGAAAATAATTGCAACATATATAACTAACAATTAATATCCAGAATATATAAAGAACTCCCATAAATATATTAGAAAAAGGCAACCCAATAGAAGAATGGACAAAGCAAAAAAAAAAGCATTTAACATAAGAGGAAACATAAATGGCTCATAAACATATAGGAAGACACTTGACCTCTTTGGTAATTAGGAAAATACAAATTAAAAGGACAATGAGATGCCTAAGAGTCAGCTAGGACATAGAACAATGGAAATTCTCATACCCTGTTTATCGGAGGCACAAATCGCTTACCAGTATGTGGGAAAACATTTTGGCATTAGTAAAGCTGAACATATACATACTCCATGGCCCAGCAATTCCATACTGAGAAATATACTCTAGAAAAATTCTTACATATATGTACCAGAAGACATATAAAAGAATGTATTATCTTACTCATTGGGGTCAAAATTAGAAATTAGCTCTGAAATGTTTAATTAAGTCATACAATATACACTCATCATCCAAAAGTAATGTTTATGGGCACATAAATATTATTTTCATGTACTTATTCATTAATTGCTAAATTCATTAACAAATATTTGTACCTATTATCCTTTTGTAAACGCAGAGATAAAATACACCTGACAGGTCAATTTTTGATATAGCATGAATGGCTTTTTGTTCACACTGACAGGCATATGTACCTTAATCACCAAAGATTATATCAAGTATTTATAAAAGAAAATCCCTTTTGAGGATTATTTCAGTTTAATCAGGATTAAAAGGAAATAAAACTTTATCCTTATCATCCTTGAGTGAAATAACTTGAGTTTTAATATCTTTACTTAATCAGAAAATACATGGAAGGAAACAATAAAATAGAGAGAGCCTGATGTCCTGTGGTCTTCCTTAATAACAACCCATTTTCAAGAGACTATAATCTACTCAACAGAAAGCATTCTACCAAGGATCTTAATCAGATGCTGAGAAAATTCACACTCAAAATAAACAATGTGCCACTAAAACCAAAACAATAGGTATTAGCAGCTGCATAAAGGTTAGCCTCAATCTGTTGAGTCATTTCTAAAATGATGAAAAGTATAATTCTTTGAAGTACTTTTTATTCAAGCTGGAAAATATATAAAGATACAGAATCGTTTGCCAACCAGGCTGACTGAGAAATTTTTCATTTTCTTTCTTGTTTGACTGTATGCGAACATCAAACTAAGAATGGCAAAAATGAATCTCTCTTCCTACATATTAATACTAACTTTTTCTTTGTTTTCTCAAGGTATTTTACTTTCAGCATCCAAGTCCATAAGAAATTTAGACGATGACATGGTATTTAATACATTCAGGTTGGGGAAAGCCTTTCAGAAGGAAGACACTGCAGAAGAATCAGTTATTGCTCCTTCCCTGGAACAATATAAAAACGATGAGAGCAGTTTCATGAACGAAGAGGAAAACAAAATTTCAAAGGTAAGTGGCAATGTGACTTGTCATTTATTTCAATGAAAATTTAAATGATTCTTACAAATCCTCTGAAAAGTAAAACTAATACTTTTATAAACAGAAGTATATGCAGTCACAATATGCATTAGGACAACTGACGATATTTCTTGCATGCCAGGTAGTTCTTCCATCCTGGAAAACCCTCTTATCTGAAAGTTTTTTTTTTTCTCCTATAAATTTGCATCTAAGGTATTTTTAAAGAGTCATAAACAGTGCAGAGCATCTTTGAATTGATCGACAAGAGTATTATGCAGTTTATTACAGTTCCACTCTGAATACAATAGCTAAAAAACAAATCAACTTTCTCTTTACAGAACACAGGCTCCAAACATAATTTCTTAAATCATGGTCTGCCACTGAATCTGGCTATAAAACCTTATCTTGCACTAAAAGGATCTGTAGCTTTTCCAGCTGAAAATGGAGTTCAGAATACTGAATCAACACAAGAAAAGAGAGAAATTGGGGATGAAGAAAACTCAGCTAAATTTCCTATAGGAAGGAGAGATTTTGACAGTGAGTAGTCTTTTCAAAATTCAATTCTACGTCCTACCACCATTAAACAGAACTCTGAGTTAAAGCGAATTTGGATGCAATCATAACAAAATCAAATAAGACCATGGCTCAATTACACCTGCCAAAAATGTGGGATTGAATAGCAATAATTAATTATTATCATTTTGGTTTACTCAGAATTAGTTATGCTAGATCCATTCTTTTTTCTTAATAAATTTTGTGTGATAATCATAGTCCTTTAAACAATTTAAACTTCCTTCTTCCTTCAGTGCTCAGATGTATGCTGGGAAGAGTCTACCGACCTTGTTGGCAAGTCTGATATCTGTTGGTCCACATCATCTTTTCAGAAGAAAATAAAAGCATTTAATTGTCAATGGGAGGAGAAGCCCCTAATGCTACTATAACTTGTGCATGTTAAATGTTTGTTTTAAAAGAAAGTAGTGTTAAGATGTATCAGTAACTGAAATTATATGCTTTTACTGTGCATTAAACTTTGTGAAAATTCTGCATAATTATGACTTACTAGTATTTTTAAACAATGCTTAACATACTAACCTTACATACACTGTAGACCAAAATAATAAATCATCATAATTTACACCTTGATCTCTTAAAAATTAAGCATGTCTTTGGTGAATGGTTTATAGATACATAAACCTAAAGCATATAAGACACAAATTTATAGTCTAAAAAACTGAGTTAACTTTGCCTGGCCAGGAATCAACTTGTCCTTGGCAGTACATTTATTACTTTTTGCTACTTTAGCTAGTTTGCTGTACAATTTATTCTGTGAATCATTTGATTTCTTAGGTATTTTAACATTTTTATGTTGAGGTGGTTCATTTCCATTATCACAGAGAATATTTTCACCATCCAAATCCACCTGTTTCCTTTTTGAGCTTTTATTTCCTGTCTGACTAGTTGATTTTCTTGATACTTTTTCATTTTTACTTCTGTCCAGATGAACATTTCCAAAACTCATTCCAATTGTTGATCTTCCAACAGATGAATTTACACCCTCTGTTATGCAAGATAAAAAGCGGAAAGGAATTATATAATATTTAGTACTAATATTCACGAGAACTTTACAATAAACTCTAAAAATGGCTAAAGAATATTCAAATGTTTATTTTTAAAGTAAAATAATGCTATAAATAATATGATTAACAAATACAGCTGCATTACTATCCCATTACTTTTCATTTTACCATAGCACCTCTGAGTTAACTTTGGCCAGTAATCAACTTGTCAGCCCTACTAACAAATATTTGTTTGAATGCATGACATTTAATCCTTAAACATATGCTACAAATTACTTCTTAAATACATTTAGTTAAATCAAACTATGTCCTATTCCTATCCATAAATTTGTACTTAGATTTAACTTTTTAAATAAACTGAGGTCTTTACAAATATAATCTTTCACATTTCACAGTACTTTGCAAAAATAATCTAATTTTACTTAAGTTAAAACTAATTAGTAGACTAGAATTAAATTGCTATTTAATTGCATAAATAAGGTCAATTACCAGAAAGGTCATTTTCCATGTGAAGCACACACAAAGGCTTTGATGCTAAATTAACATTATTCCAATTATCCTTGCTTATCATGTAGTCATCTTTATAAGTACAAGCAAATTGGGATCTAATTAAAGTTTGCTTCATCTGGTAACAGAAAGAAGAAAATATGCCATTTATTCATTATTTTATTTCTTCATCTAGATGGACACACACTCTATAGTAATCAAAGTATAACAATTTCCCTTAGAAATTCTATTACTCATTGAGAACCTCTAACCTTTTATATCTCATAGTTTGCAAACTCATTCATCGCTATGGCTAGCATTTTTGTTCTTTTCCAAAATACTAGCTTTATGTATTTTTTTATGTTTTATTTTTTGGTAACAGTTACAAAACAATCAATTTTAGACTCTATAGGGCTTTGTTACACATTCCTATGTCAGTGCTGCTTTGGAGCATCTTATTGTAAGTAAAATAACAATACAGGTGATATACATAATCATAGAAAAATACAAGTTCTTCATCCTAAGAAGAACACAACTCTTGGAAAAAAATAGCATAAAATTCAGGAAATTAGGGAGGGAAGAAATGCTAAGACGAAGAAAAGAATTAGGTGAGGCCTATCAACAACAGGAAACTAGCAAAGAAATAAACTACAAGATAAAACAAAATGATATAGGAAAGACATTATTTCTCGAGCATTTAGGAAAACAAGAAAGAGGATTCAATATATCATTCTAGAAAGATTTGACCAAGTGACTTAATGGTCAGAAATTCAAAATACACTCTTGCATTTATCTTCAAATATCAAATAGGAGGGCCTAACTTTCTACACAAATAGGAGAAAATTACAAAGATAAACTTAATTCTTGACCATTGAAAAGGATGCCAAAAAAAGTAGTTTTGGAAATGTATTCCACAAACATAAACCAGTGAGCTATTGGGGGATAGAAATTAATTTTAGAACAAAGTAGCCTATATAAATAATGCCGATTTCAACAATTACAGATGGTGTGTAATACCATTCAGGTTTAATGGAGAGATGTCTCCAAATAGAAGTCACCTGAAATCGTTTTATGAAATAGACAAAGTTTCAAATACATAATTCAATAATGATGACTTCAATAATTCAAAAATTTAAAACTTTGAATGTAACTACATTACCCTGATTACCACTTACAGAGTATTTGTTGATACAGTCATGAAATCTAAAACAGCATGACTTTACATTATACATTGAGTAGTTGTATATTATGTTATATACTCAGAGATCGATGCATTAATTCACTCAGATGTTTGTAAAGATAACAGCAGTGAAATCTACTGACTACGGCTTAGAAAAAGTCAGAATAATCGCTTGTCCAGCTGCTTCATAAAAGCAAGTTTTATTAGGATGACACATTTTGTTTCTGACTAATGAGGTCTGTGACAGTCTCCATCTCCCAGATCACTAAAAATTATATTTCATGTGCTTACATGAAGCATTAGACAATTGGAATTTTATCTTCCATTTAAGCATAAAAATGTACAAAACTGAAAATAAACGTGAAAATATACAAGATCAAAAACTATTGTTTAAAAAGTTGAACAGAATGGACTCTCAAAAATGAATGGGACTACAACCCACTACCTTCATGAATCCCTATGAATGCAACACTTATTATATAGCTTCTACCACAAGATGCCCTATATATAACTGAAGACTTTAAGTAGCTCTTTCTGGACTTTATTAATCCTATAACTACAGATTTAAAGCACTTGATAAACCTATTTAAATAAGTTTTATTTATAAAATTGACTCTATGTTATACTACATAATTGTAGCATTATCCATGAACCTTTATTTCCACCTGCAACACCAGTACTAACTGTTGATATTATCTTTTCACACATTATTTTCACTTCATAGAAGTTATGGCTTATAGAGAATTATAAACTTATTGCTTATAAAGAGTTATAAAGAGTATAGTAAGACCACGCAGGCAAATAGATGCTGAGTGGCTGGCTTGGATCACTCTTTGTACCCCAGTAGTGATGGCACCTAGAGTTAGCTTGGGAGATGTTAGCTTCTCACTGCAAAACCTTCATGAGCACCACCCATAAAACATGCTAAATAAAAATATAATACTAAATAATAATTATATTATTTAGTACAGAAAACTAATGTTTCTTCAATCTCATGTTTAGCAGGAATAAAAATTTCTTTAGAATGTTTCATTACTTTTATTAATTTTTAACATACAGTCTAGGTAAAAAAATCTTTGCTTGCTGTGCAAATAGTCACAAAATAAGTGTGATAGCTCTCCTTACAACTAGATTTCCTCAATTCAGGCTCCTCCATAGACAAATTCTAGAATCCTCAGTGACCACAGTAAAATTTCAGAAAACTACCATCACAGGCAATGGATTCCTGAAGTACTGAAAACAAATTCAGATGTCAAAGAAAAATAAGTAATGACTTTTTCTACCATGAAAAATATTATTTATAAATGTATTAAAATATGAGATATACACACAACAGAATTCCCCCCTTTGCATATTGAGGGTTTTTTCTTTACATAAATGATTATATGCAGATTTTCTTTTCCCTGTCCTGTACAAAAATCACTTTTTTTTTTAATCAATTACCACTTATTAAGTTCCAACTATGTGATAAGCACAGCGTATACTAGAGATTACTAGGATGGCTTCTACAACTTCAAAGACATTCTACTTATAAAATTTGCTATTGACAAACAGCTGGAAGGAATAACAAATAAATTGGATAATAGAATCAAGATTGAAAAGATTTCAGAAGGCTAGAACCATAAGTAGAAAATAATAAGATGAAAATGGATGGGGATAAACAAAGTCCAGTATTTAAGTTCAAAAATATCAATTACAGATGTACAGGATGAGGAGAACCTGACTTAAAAACAACATATGTAAAAGACCTAGAGATTTAAATAGATACAAACTTGACAGAGCCAACAGTGTGATATCCAACTAAGAAAGCAGCACAAAAAGGTAAGATGATGTGACGGGAAAAGCGTCAGATTTGCAGTCAGAAGACCTGGCTTCTAATACTGGCCCTATTACTTATTAACTAGATAACTGTGGGGAAACCATTATACCTCTCACTTATCCACATATAATGGGAATATTTACCTCACAGAATTATCAGAATTGGATGCAGTTAACTTATGTCAAGGTTATATAGACTCTAGAAATCTATGCAGACACTATATCACTATTATCGTAATAACATGTAGGAAGAGGGTATTCTTGTAAGAAAAAGATCTGTTCAATAAGGTGTCTCAGAACCAGGCCAATTCTAAAATGATTCTAGGAATGCAGCTCAAAAAAATGAACTTACAAACAGTTTCTTCATTTTAATTATTTAAACAATGCAACCTACATTGGCTTATATTTATAACTTAAAAGAGACTGCTTTTCCTTTGTTCATAAACGCTGAATTTTTCTACACAAGATTAGTGGCTACATAGAACTGAGATTACTTTCTGTTGCAAATCTTCCAAATCTCTCTGTGTATTTGATTTGGAATCACGAATAAGCAAAACAATTCCCTCTTGAAAGTGCTTTTGAAGTACTAAACAACTAAGAATAATGTCCAGATTCACACATGGCTGTTAAAATCATTTCATGTTCAAGTCACATGAGAGAAATGGATTGAAAGTGTGCCTTTGTAGAGTGATTTCCCCTCTTTGGAAAGATTTCTATCCACAGCATAATTGCAATGAACTTCACACTTGCCAAGAATTGGAAAAGTCCTTTTGCCACAAGCTCTTTTTAATTTGAAATTATTAGTACGTTCCCAGTTTGAGGAAAATAGCACTTCACATAGGAAAGCCTGACTCCAGTTAAATTAAAATGAATGAGTCAAAACACTGAAAAGTCATAGACACTCTCAGAGTTAGCTGTATCAACAAGAAAATGAAAGTTCTATACTCCCATTATATGACAAATATATTAGCAAGTTTGAAAAAGG